TATCGTGGGCGCAGCGGGCAGGGGTGGTGCCATTGAGAACCTTTGAGAAAGCTGCCGGGAACAGCATTCCATGCAGAGGGAAAAGCAGAGCTGGGGCTTCTAGTGGGTCTGAGGACAGAGCAGAGATTTTGTGGGTGCAGAATAGGTGAGAGGGGTTTGACTGCACCCTGGGGAGTGTCACCCAGCAAGGAAGCAGTGGGCCTAGTCCTCTGGGGAAGGGCCATTGTCTGCTTAAGAGGAACTGACAGGGTCCAATGCTGGGTGTATCTCGAAGGCTGGTGGGCTCACTGGAGGGTACAGGACTCAGATGCTGGCCCTAGGAGCAACCTAACATTGAATAGCTGGGGAAAGGGGCTTCCAGAGCCAGGACGCCGTGGGTGTGGCCAACTATGTGTCCTTAGACTGCCAGGTGATGTCATGGGTGGATAGCTCTGGGTCGCAGCATAGGGTATATGCCAGGTTCCAGGCTTCTTGCCTCTCCCCAGTTCTCACTGCAGCTCTGCCAAGTGGAGAATATTGTTAGAAGGGAAAGGTTTTTGCTGCCCTCAGGAAAAGCCTCCGCTTGTCCTAAGCAGAGGAAGCCAAAGTAACCAGAGCCAGTTAGGACCATCTGCCTAGCACCCTGAGCCCTCCCTATGCAGGAAGGGGTGTGGCCAGCATGTTCCTCTGGGGCCATGGGAGCGCACATCTCTGGGGGTCAGTGAGAAGGCACCCCTGTCGATACCATGAAAGGAGATCACCAAGGGGGGCCCTTGCAGAAGCTGCACATGGAGACTGCACACGTCAGGACAGTGCCACGCCTGCTTCACTCGCCATCCCTGTACTGGACAAGCTGGGTCCACAGTTTGCCACCACCTTCCCAGCTGTGTGGTCTCACCAGCCACCAAGCACCCCAGCTGCACTTCCTCTGCAGTAAAGGACACTGCGGAACATAACTTCCCACAGGACGGCCCCCTCCCCGTTAGTAACTACGATTGTTATTTGCATGTTACACTGTCCTCCACCCCAGGGACAGATCAGAGCTGTCCCAAGGTTCAGATCAATTAGTGGGTGAAACACAGATACCTTCCAGGGCTTGGTGGGGAATGTGAGCAGGAAGGTGAGGCTGGTAGCCATTGCAGGGCGTGCTGGGGGATGAGGGAAACTCCAGAGCACCCAACCTATTCAAGTTCAAGTCAGAGCTGAAAAACTCACTACGCAGGGCAAGAGTTCAGTTGTTAGAGTGATTGCCTATCGTGACAAGGCCCTAGGTTTCACACCCAGTGTGGACCAGATATGCTAATGTACTAGGGAGGGAGACAAGGAAGATCATCCTTGGCTCTAGCAAGTTCTGGTCTAGCCTGGGCTATAGGATACCCTGTCAAAAAGTAAAAATAGCTGGGCGTGGTGGTGCACCCAGCTCCTGAAGGAAACCCAATAGCATAAGATGGTATTTTATTTGTTAATTTGGTAGCTATTTGTTGAGCCCACTACATGCCAGGCTCTGGGCCAGGCTTGGGAACACAACAGTGAACAAAGTAGGCAACTCTGCCATGCCACTGGTGAGGGGCGTTGTCCGGAACTCCCTGATCAGGAATCTTCAGGCCAAGAAACAGTAAGACCTCTTGTCATCAAGGCCACATACCCTTCTGAGGGATCCCCTAGCCCTCGCTGTATCTAAAGGGGTTACAAGAGTTCTGCAGGAGTGAAGACTCCCTCTGGAGGGGGCTGGAGATGGGCTGCCTTAGCTGGTGCCAGCCTGGCAGACCTCCAGAGAACGGTGCTGGACTCAGGGTTCAGGGACAGGTACAGCTCCCACTTACCAGCATCCTCAGGCCTTCCTCACTGTATGTATTAAGGGAGCCCTGACAGACACAGACCTGTAATTATACCTGTCACAGCCAGAATCACCAGTACACAGATTGTTCCAGAAGGGACTAAATGGTGGGATAGGAAGTGAGCCCGATGGAGCAGTCAGTTCAGGTCAACAAGTCCTGCTGAAGAAGGGGCCCTGATTTGAGATCTCAGTGACAGGTTTTGCCAGCAAAGAAAAATCTCAGTATGAGACCCTCAGACAGAGTAGCGTGTGCAAGGATCCTGGGGCAGCAGTGAGCTGAGAGCATTAAGAAACTATGAAGAAGGCTGGAGAGATGGCTCAGTCAGTGAAGACTTTGCCTCAACAGCATAAAGAACCGAGTCCAAATCCCTAGTGACCACGTAAAAAGCCAGCACAATCAGTCACACACACATGCTCAAAACTATGAAGAGACATCTGAGGTGAGGTGAGAAGACAGGAGATAGCTGGAGAGGGAGCAGTTGTCAAAAGAGGTCTAGGTCTCAGTGAAGAATTTGAACCTAATTCCTCATGCAGTGGGAAACTACTAGAGGGTTTGAACAGCAGAGATATGATCTGTGTGCCCTGGGAAGCTCTGGCTGCCTCCTTCACAGCTTGGCAGAGACAAGTTAGACATCAAATAAACCTTTCTGTGCTTAGCCCTGAGGGGGAGCTCATTAGTGCTGTTCCCATCCCTACGGAGTTGCTGGGTGACGGAACACGGCTCTGGGGTGGGAATCGCAAACACCTGGCCAAGCCTGTGTGAGCTTCCTACATGGTCCCAAGTGTGAACCTGATGGCTTAAAACAGAAGTGTCCTCTCAGGATTCCTGAAGCCCGAAGTCCAAAGGCAAGGGGTCAGCAGGGCCATGTCTGCGTCCCTGTGGTATCTCCTACCTTCCACATGGATACATGTCAGTGGATTTAGGACCCGCCTGGGCAAGTCAGGTTATTCTCATTTTAAGATCTGTAATGCAAGTCTGAGAGATGAGGCAGGAGGATCACCAAGAGTTTGAGACCAACCTAGGATACACAGTGAGTTTGAAGCCAATCTGGGCTACAGGAGACTGTGTCTCAAAAAACTGGGGGATGGGTCAGGATGGCTTAGTGGGTAAAGGCGCTTGCTGCCTAGCCTGACGACAACCTGAGTTTAATATACAGGACCCACATAGTAGGAGAGAATTGTCTCCCACAAACCGTCCTCTGATCCATATGTGCATACACACACACACACACACACACACACACACACACACAATATTTGTAAGGAGAGGAAGGGGAAAGTGAGGGAGGGGAAGAGCCATGACTTACTAGATCTACAGAAAGCCTTTGTCCAAATAAGATCATACTCAGAATCCTGAAGTAGATTATGACACGTCCTTTCGGGGAGCCACCTTTCTTTTACCATACTATAAACACGAGAATTACAAGGACTGGCCAGTAAGATAGCTCAGTGGATAAGGCACCTTCTGGCAAGCCTGACGATCTGAGTTCAATCCCCAGGACCCACATGGTATGACAGAACTAACTCCCAAAAGTTGTTCTCTAACCTGCACACATGGGCCACGGCATGTATGCCCACACACAAAATAAATAAATGTAAAAAAAAATTTTTTTAACTGGGCATAGTGATGCTTAACTTTAATCCCAGCACTCTGGAGGCAGAGGCAGGTGAATCTCTGTGAGATCAAGGTCAGCCTGGTCTACATAGTGAGTTCCGGGCGGGACTAGCAGGGCCATGCCACATAGTGAGACCCTGCCTCATAGGAAAAAAAAGAATTGCAAAAAGAAAGGGAAACCGAGACTGGGCACAGAAGAGCAAGAGAAAGGACTTGCGTGGACTAGTCCACCAGGATCTCAGGGTTTAAGCATCAGCCACAACGTGCAGTCCGACATCTGTTCTCCACACCAGTGTTGGCCTACTCTGTCCCACCATGGCAGGGCCACAGAGATTGCTGACCAAGGTGCTTGGCCTTTACCCCAGCAGGGTCCCAGCCACACAAAGTAGAACTCCACACATGGGGTATTTCTATGCAAACATTATAATTACTTGAAAAATAGCCCAACTCTTAAATTTAGATTCTAAGAGTGAGCCAAACTCAGAGGACACTGGTTCTCCTAGAGATCTCTTGGAACCTCTGTCTCCTGGAACTGTCCAGAGTCCAGCTCCACACATACTTTTATTCCGATGGTTTCTCGAGCTTCAGCTGGGGAAGTACGAGCTAAGCTCCACCACCTTTGAGCGCTTTGATATGTTAATTCTCAAGCATACCCACATTCATTATCTCTTTGGGTGGGGTACCAAATTGAGGCTGCCTAAGAAATAAGATCAGGTGTCGAGGTCACAAGACACTAAAGCACATGGTTTTGCTGGGGTGAATTAAAAGTCATTAGTCCAGTTTCTGAGTTTCTGTCCATTTATAAGTCTCTCTCTCTCTCTCTCTCTCTCTCTCTCTCTCTCTCTCTCTATCTCTCTATCTCTCTCTCTCATACACACACACACACCCTCCCTTCCTAAGTACCCTACTCTGAGCCTAGCTTAGCTGAGCATCAAGATCAGACCAGAGTGAAGCCTTGTGATCTGATGTGTGTAATTAAGTTCCAATCACATCAGATTCTGGGAATAAGAGACCTAGAAGCTAGAGCCGGGATGGGGGTGGGGGTTAGGTGGGGGTGTTTTCCCCAGAAAAGATGTGGCTGGGCAGATGGGTTAGATTTAGGGAGAGGCAGGGCATGGCCTCCACATGGACCCAAGCTGGGGTCAAGCACTTTGGTGGAGCCATACACAGGGAGGCTGCCCAGAGGTTGGTGTGACCAGATTTCAGTAAGAGCGAACAATTCTTGGAAAACTTCCAAACAAAACAAAGTCTAATCCTCCCTGTTTATGCGGTGGCGGCTTTAAAAAAAAAAAAAAAAATCTGTATATATTAACACCCCACAGAAAAGACGCTCTGTTTATATACAAAACAGTTTGAGCCCAGACTCACAGTATTTAGAAACAGATCTTCACCCACCCCCACATGAGCATCTAGTGGGACTGAGACCTTGGTCTTGGTGGTTGGGGGGGACTGGCGCACCCAGTCTGTGGGTTTCTGAAGCCTGCCTGCGGCTCCACGCTCAGGGTTGGGAGCCTCCTGGGGTGGTCCTCCCACCAGTCCACACCACTCCCCCTCGCCCCCTGTTTGCAGGTTCCATGCAGGTGATGAACAAGACCAGGCGCATCATGGAGCAGGGCGGAGCACACTTCATCAACGCCTTCGTGACCACGCCCATGTGCTGCCCGTCCCGCTCCTCCATCCTCACTGGCAAGTACGTCCACAACCACAACACCTACACCAACAATGAGAACTGCTCCTCACCCTCCTGGCAGGCACAGCACGAGAGTCGCACCTTCGCTGCGTACCTCAACAGCACCGGCTACCGGACAGGTAAGGACCGGGCGGGGCAGAGAACTGCGGCGGCGAGGGACAGATGTCCTCCTATGCCATCAATGAGCTTCTCTGGGTGTGGTGCCCACCCTGCACTTGCACCCAAGATGAGTCTGGGTCACACTCAAAACAGCCTTTATCTCATATTCCACTTCTGCATCTATTTCTATGCATACAAAGTAGAAAAAAATACAGATTTCTCTGCAGTGGATATGGAAAGTGACCTTTTCAAAGAAATTGGAGTTCCAAAAAAATGAGAGTTCCTTGAGGTTATGAATTCTGTAACAGGGAGGCCACAGAGTGTCCCTGTGGGAGTTTGTGGTTTCTGTTCACTTAAGGCCATCCTGTTTTATTGATTCGAGACCATCAGCATGAGAGAAGATTCCAGAATTTGAGGTTGGAGTTAGAGAGGAGAAGACATGGGAGACTGGCCACTCCATGTGGGAGTGACCAGGATGACGAAGGGGTTGCCATGGTGAGAGACCTTTATCTACGCTGACACCTGTGGGCAGTGGCAGGGTGTCCTGGACATAGATCTGGGGGAGGTACTGTGGCAGGTTGGGGAGACCCTTCTGCCAGGCTGGTGCTCCCACAGCAACCTCAACCTCATCCTTGCAAAATCCCCCAGACTCAACTCATTGAACTTGCTTGTATAAAAA